GATAAACATTTAAAAATAAACAAAAGACAAGTCTACAAAAAGCAAATCTGTGTGCTGGGTGCTGCCACTCGGGCATCGCTGGGCGCTGAGGTGCAGTGACAGAATTGAGACTGTGGGCTCACAGGCAGGAAGGGGACAGGGCGGAGGGCTGTGCCTGGTCACGTGTCTTGCAGGTTCTCTTTGGAATTTACCTTTCCTGTTGCTCCGGTCTGTGACAGGGCTAACAAAAGGGTGGACAGGGAGGATGTGGACAGGGTGAAGTTTTTATATCTTGTGATTTCAGACTTGGGAGGAAATCAAGAACACTGAGGTTAAATCTGCAGTGTCTATGAGACATCGGAGGTGCTTGGGAGAGAGGTCTGGTATGGAGATGTGCATTTAGGTGACAACAGAGTAGGGAGAAACACGGAAAGTCATGACACTCAGTAAAACACCAGGGGAGGGAGTCAGACCCGAAGGGAGGCCACAGCCTGGGCCCTGGGGCCATCTGTGTTGGGGGCAGAGGACAGCCAGCTGGGGCGGCCAGGGCTCCAGCCAGGAGGTGGAGATGAGATCTGGGGATGAATCAGCCTCAGGCCATGGAGCAATGCTGGTCCAGAGCAGCAGCGATGGGCTGTGTCACGTGCTGCTGGCGGCAGCATAGGAGGAGGTCTGAGAAGGGACCACTGACTACAGCCCCACGGAGACCACCAGGGCCCAGACAGAAGAGAGGCTGGGCACACGAGCGGGCGGCTGGCTGGAGTGGATCAGGAGAGAAGAGAAGAGGGGCTGGAGATGCCAGGATGGGGGCACTTCCTGCTGCACAGGGGCAGAGAGCCAACAGGACCTGCGGAACGTGTACTCGATAAGGGGACTGCGTGTGTGCATGTGTGTGTGCACGTGTGTGCGCACATATCAGGTGAGAGAAACGAGGGTGTATTTGTTGCAAGGCCAGAATAATCTAATACAGAGCAAAAAACCCCCAAAAAAACCACAAACACAAATTCCTCCAAATGCAACAATAGGAACAACACAAATTTTTAAAGCCTCGACGTTTACTAGAGAAAGGAGCAGTTTGCTCCTGCTCCTGCTCCACAAGGTGACTCGCGTTTACCTGCGCCATCTTTAGGTGACAGGGAACAAGTCAGTGGCGACAAGTGAAAGTCGTAGTGCATGTGGCAGGGCAGGCATGGTGGCGAGGTGAGGAGAGCTGAAGACAGAGGTTCAGGCTTAGTCACCCGTCACCTCAGAATGGGAAAGAGCTAGAAGGCTGGGGAGCTCAGGCGGATTGGCCTAGGCCAGTGGTGGCGAACCTGTTAGAGGCCAAATGCCCAAACTGCCACCCAAAATCTACTTATTTACTACACAGTGCCAGTACTGTAATGAAACCCGAGTATCCAATGCTCACCTGCCAGGGTGACTTGGCTTATGAGCCAACAGAGAGGGCTCTGTGTGCCCACTGTAGCACACGTGCCAGAGGTTCGCCATCACTCGTCTAGGCAGACAGGAAGGGACCAAGACACTGCCGTACATTACAGAACCCCAGAGCTGCACAAAGGGATGCAGAGGGTGGAGCTGGCAGCGTGGTTGTCTTAAAGGAGATCAGAAACTCCTGTACAAGGTGACACCAGAGAGGCACCTGGAGCTGGCCCCTGCCACTGCACAGGGACAGCACAGGGAGTGCTGGGCTGCTATGGGGCTACTGCTGTCTACACCCCCTCTGCTGCCCCAAAAGGCTGCCATCCCAATCACTTTCAGAAAGTAGATTGAAAAACAAGTCTACTAAAATGGGGGGGGAGGCCTAAACTCCAACCCGACACATTTCCTCCTGACAAATAAAGCACATTAGTTCTAGACTATTAACTCCAATATTAAGCCCAAGACACATTTGTTAACTTTAGTGGTTTATGTGTACTAAAAATATCCCATTTTTTCCACTGTAGGGAATTACTCCATTTTCCTTTATCACCGGGGTCTTCTGTTACTTTGGGTTAGGCACTGTGGGAATAGGCAGGCTGGAATAGAGAGTTTAGAGGGTTGCAATAATTCAGAAATATTCACAGCCTGTAACCTGGGTTAAAACATGTGACACAGCTGCTGGGGTTGCATAGGGAATCGGCTGGGGACAGAAGATCTGGATTCTCTCCAGTGCAGCATGGTCTACCAAAACCAGAGAGAGGTAGGTTCAAGATTAAATTGTGCCACTTACTAAGTGTATGATAGTGATCAAATTACTTACACATCCAAGGATAAGTTTCCTCATCTGTAAAGTGGGAATGATAGGAATTGTGAGAATAAAGCTAACGTGCATAAAACACTTAGCCCAGAGGTTAATATATAACTAGTAGATGAGGAGGAGGAGGAGGAGGAGGAGGAAAAACAGGAAGAGGAGCATCTGGTGATGGCAGTAGTAGCACTGAGTAGTGATTCCCACGTCTACTGCTAACAACTTGTTCATGGGTGGATTTTTTACCCTCTCTGGGTCCAGCAATCTGCCTGCTTGCTACATTGTAGGTCCCTGATAAAGTCTTATTGCATGAATGAATGTTCTAATAATTTCAAGGCTCATCCCAGCTCTGTAGCATGAGATAACCCTATGAATTTATACTAATCTTTTCCTGTATCATCTCACTTAGACTTGTAGTATAAGAAAATGCATCAATTCTTCATACCACTTGTAAAAAAATAATCAGAAACCATTATCGACCTTGGGTTGGCTTTAAGCTGTCACACTCTTAGGGGGCAGGAAGCCAGGGAATGATCAGGAAGAGAAGTAAATGAAGGGAAGGGAGCAGGGCTGCTAAGGAGCAGGGCAGGGACCATTTTGTCCCCAGACTCCAAAGATCCTGCTCTGTGGGGAGACCTGACCACCAGGCAAAGCCTCACACGCAGTTACAAAGGGGGAGCCCTCCTGTGACAGTCGGGACACCCCAGGCTGATTCATCCGTGAGAACCACAGGTGCGCTCTGCGAGAGGATTCCCTGGAGCCCAATCACACAGGCTGTGTGGTTTCTGCACGCACATAGCCACCTCCTGGATGGCTTGTGTTCAGTCCCAGCTTCGGGGATGTGAGGAAATGCTGGCTGATTTCCTGTGGCCAGGGAGAGCCGACTCCTCTCTGGGCCAGCACACTGACTTGCTGATGACATTCAAACTCCTTATTTCATTCACGGTCCAGATGCTTGCAGAAGCTTATGTGACCTTGGGATACCAGGTGTTCCTGCTGACTTGGGATGCAGTGCTGATTTGGCCGTGTCTGAAGCCATGGCACCCTAATATCTTTCCAGACCCTCTGCCAGCTTACTCTGAACCCCGAAGCTTGGATTTGCTGTCCCTTAATTCTGGCCTTTTGATTGAGGCTCAGAACCTGCGTCCTCGCCAGCTTTTGTTTTGCTTTGTTTAGGTATTGTCTCTCCTTTACCCAGGGTTCTCCCAATTGAGGTGAGCACAGACCAACCTTTTAGACGTGGATTTTTCCAGGGGTTGGATCTCCGCTTCTCTAACGAGTCCTGGTTATCCCCAGAAGACTGAGTTTGTACAGTCTCTGAAATGCCTTCTCCAAAAGCAGGAGGAAATCAATTCCTCCTCTGCATTTTGCGTGGTTGCTCATCATTTTGTCTCCAGGATGTGACCCTGCACCTGCTAAGGAGAGGAACTGTGATGGATTCTCAAGGGCCGGCCCTGAGCTGGCCCCTGGCGCTCTCCTGCCTGTGCCGTGCATTGGCACAGACGCACACCAGGCACTACAGTGGCCTCAAAGCAAAAGGTAAATCAATGCTTCAGTCAGCAGAACTACCTGTGCTCAGGGCACGATCTGGGTTTCTGTGTGCACTCCGCTGGCATTCACAATACACTCCTCTCACAGCTCCCCTATTTTTATAACAAACCCTCCCTCCAGGAGAGTTGCTTCTTTTTTTTGCAAATAAGGTACATCCAGGGTCAGACACTAAGACCGAAATCGTAGCAGAGAAAGACAGAAGCTGTTGCCCAAAGTCGGAGATGGAAGACATTGCTAACTGATTTCTGAGACTTTGGGGAGCACGAGAAAGCATTCCGGAGGCAATTTGACAGTTAAAAGTATGATCTGCACAACAGTGTAATGGAAGAGCGAGGAACTGAAAGTCAGGAGGTGGGCTTTTAGCCAGAGTGTGCTGCTAACCCGCTCTGTGACCTTGGAAAAGCAGCTTAGCCTCTCTGGACCTCATTTCTTATGAAAGCAAGGATTTGAGCTGAACCTCAAGCATTGCGCTTGAAAGGGTCCTGACCTGAGGATTATTTTCAAATGTATTCCACTGGAGCACAGGCTGAAAGCAAAGTGTGGAGTGGAGATAACACCAGAGGTGCTGAAGGGAAGAAACAGCCTGCGGGGACAGAGAGCCGCGCCCAAGGTTTCAGACTCAGCAGGGGAAGGAAAGAGACCACGCTGGCCCCCAGACCTGGGAGCGCACCGCCTTCTGCCCCAGTTCTCTTTTGTTTTGTTACTTTAAAAAAATCTTTCCTAAAAAAGCTAGCTTTGACCCAGATTAAAGTTCAAGAGGGAAAATAAACTCATGAGCATCTGCACACCAGGCTCCCTGTGTTTGCCATTGTCTCGCAGGGATCCTTTGTCACTGCCAATGCCTCTGCCCAGAGAGAGTGACAGTAAGAGGACAGGAGACCATGGAGGGCCACAGAGAAGGCAGGCAGGTCCGGGCACCTCTAGGGCTGTTGCTCAGCAACAAGCCGCACCTTCCTGTGAGTTAGTGACTGCAGGAGGGGACCCATGGAGAAGCAGCCTCAGCAGACCTGTTTCTCAGGAAGCTGATGTGTGCTGAGGTCTGCCAGGCAGCACCATAAAATAAGGAGCCTGGTTTTACCAGGTCTGCATGGTCTCAGTGTTGGAGTATGGTGACTATGCGCAAAGCTCCGCACATCCGCAGGGCTCCCACAGCCCGCAAAGGGATGGAGAACAAAGGAACCAGGTCCAGGGGCCGGGGTGCTGTGGAGGGAGCTCCTCAGGGCTCCAAGGACTCTGCACTTACCGCTTATCCACTTTGCTTCTGGGTCATGGATTTTGAAATCTTTACTGAAAAGATCTTCCACGGTGACCTTCTTCTTTTGCGATAGACTATTATCTTCCGCTAGGAAAAAAATAAGAGAGATGGTGAGACTTCCTCTAGTTGGTTAAAATAACACACATGTACAATAAGATTTCGGTAAATGAGTGGTGAACAACAGCCAGTCTTGCTTGTTCTTTTTCACTAAACTATCAGCAACCATGGTGAGGAGATCTCAGTTCAGCAAAATAGCATCTTTGGGTCCTCACATGCACATGCAGTGCATAAGCGATTCTGTTCCTTACATACAGAGGTAGAGGCAGATGCATGAATAAGGTGGGGATGATAAGACAGAAGGAGCTCTATGATCAGTGTAAACAATCATTCATTAAGGGTCCGCGCTACTAATTACAGGCAGTGTGTTGGCTGCTGGGAATGCTAGGACGCATGAACTATTCTGTAAGTATTTATGCTCTGTAGCTTCACTTGTCCCCGGCTGTCACTGGGTTCTGGGTTAGTGTTTATTCAGAGAGAATGACACCCGAAAAAACTGTGTGCAAACTGGCTGACCAGCCTGCCTCATCCGTGCTTAGGAGGAAGTACCTGGAATAAGCTCATGAAGGCACCACACCAATACCTAGCCCAAGACAGGATGTTTTGTGCATGGCCCCAGTAGGTGAGGCTTTAGAAATCTGGCCGCTCTTATCCTATTTGCAGAGGTCAAAGCTTCCAGGACGTTAGCTCTCCTGGAAAGAGGCTGTCTCCATCAGAGTCGCAGAAATCCATTTATGTGCCCTATTAGGAGAACCTCAGCTAACGGAGGAAGTGCACACAGCAGTCCACCAAACCAGCATCTCTTCTGGTACAGTAACAAGAAACTCCCTTCCCTGGCCCACCTCTGCTATGCATCGTCTACCTGGAGCTCTAACCAGAGGATGCTAACATCGCTACAGTGTTCTTGACGACTTATGTCCTTTCGTGGTGTTCCTCACATTCTTGATTTGTGCTGTGTGGCTGTGGGGTCATCCTGGGGCTAATTGCCCGGGTCTGTGCACAGTCTCTGTTAGCTGGCTCCTGACCAGTGTGTGTTTACATTTTGATCTCTGCTTATTATGTCTGTGTCTCTTTCCAGTTTCTGCCCCTTGGACCAGCACTGGGTTGTCATGGTTCCTGCCCTCCACAGTGCCCCTTGCCTCTTCGTTTTCGCTTTCAAAATCTCCAGCAGGTTGGGAAAATAGCAAGGAATCTAGAGTTGTATAATGATACAGGAATACACCATCTCTGGATGAGCTCTTCAAAGCATCTTCTAGGGCTGTCGTTCATAGATTTTACTGTGACACATTTTCTCTCTTCTGGCCTCTCTGGATATTAGAGTATTGAAGTTACCAGAAAAGCCAAGGATCCTTTGTGCGTTGATTGATTTCCTGGATATCAAATGCAATGACTTTGTGTGAAAGGCTTTTGAAAATTACAGAGTGATACGACTCAGGGTGGCTCTTGTAAGATGTGATTGTGTGAAGCCACCCCTGGGTGTAAACACAGCTGATTCTTCCCTCCATCCGGGTTCTCCCTGCCCTCAGGCAGCCCTGGAAAAGATACTAACAAGCTTAACAAGATGCTTTTCTCGTGGAAAACAGACAAAAAAATGGGAATTTAAAGATGACTGGACATCCACCTAAGACCATCTAATACCGCAGCCCAGCAGTTAAGAGCAATAAATCTTCCTCAGACATCCCTAAGTATATGGTCAGAAAACAAGCTTAAATATCACATGGTTTGTCTCATGCGGGAAACCCAAAGTATAAATAAACTGAAGAGCAAAACAAAAGACGGATAATAGAAAACAGAGAAAAGGACCTTCTGCAAGAAAAAAGGGGATCAAGAGATGGAAGAAGGGGGGAAAGGGACACATAAAGAACTCATATGTGATATATACATATACCAGCTCCCCGTTATGAATGTAACTCTTATGTACTGCAAACATGTTCTAATAAAAACAAAAATTAAAAATACAGTCATATTAAAACTTACATGTCATCTAATTAAACTTCTCTATTCAAGGATGATTCTGGTTCCATATTCTGAGGTATCCATGTGTCAAATAAGAATGAAATGTAGGAGTGACATTTAAACAAACCATAGAAATGAAAGATGGGAAGGCAATTTAGTCACTTGCTAACAATTTTTCTTCTCATAAATGTTTTGTTATTTTGAAGCACTGTTACCTTATTTGGTTTTTAAAGATGTGTTGACAATGTAAAGATTTTTATGAAGGACAGTTTATGGTGGAAGCGTCATGGAGCATGCTATTCAAAGTACCCCACGGAAGCCAGAAGCTTGACTTGGTCAATAACTGGCTCTCTGTCCTGAAGAAACTCAGGTCTGGCCTGGCAAAACATTGAAGACTCATTCATACATCCAACTAGCTCACTTAGTTGTTGACTTACGATGTGAAACACCCCCTAATTCTTTGAGAGGACCATGGGCATGACCAACTGCCATGTTCCAGGAAGCATGCTGAGCCCTGAAAAGCCAAAATGGCAGACTCCACCCTTGCCTGCAAAAGCTCACAGAGTTGTGGGAGCCAAGGCCACACGGACAGCCATAATGCTACAGTGATGGTGGGTGCTGAGAGGAGGAGAACCTTCCTTCTAACATTTAAGGGGGTCAGGGAATGGGAAACTGGGAGGGGTTCTGGAAAGACTTTCTTGAGGAAAAAATCTTTAGCCAGGATAAAGAAGCTAAAAGAACAATTAAGCTAGGAAGGATTAGAGATGTTGGCTGCAGTGTTTTCAGAAAACTGTAGGGTGACAGCACGAACAAGAAATAGCTAGAAGTGAAGGCGGACTTGGTCATTGCTACCCTAAAATTCCATTAGGACGTGTTCATGTGTGGCTGTCATCTCAAATCCTGTGTAAGGGTCAGTAGCTCTTCCGGTGTAAGAATGACACATCTCCGCGTCAGAAGCATTCTCAGTAACTATCTCATCAGCACCACTGTCTTCTCCATTCCTCCTCCCAGAATTCCAGCCAGCTGTGCGGAGCTCCGAGGCCACCTCCACAGCCCACGCCTTTTCTTTCGTGTCTTCCATGTTTTATGTTTTTGAGGGGCATTTCCACGATGTCTTCAGTGCAATCTTCCATTTATCAATGTTGCCTTTAGCATATCTGCCTGTTCTTTTATTCAACTTCTAAGCTTTTAAATTTAAGGTGATCGGATTCTAATTTCTAAAATTCCTCATTATCTCTTTTCCAAGATCATCTACTCTTGCATTAAGTTTCAGGCTTCTTTACCCAATGGATAATTCTTTGAAAAACCTAACACGTTATTTCCCATTTCCCCTATTGATGTAGACTTCCTTGGATTTCAGTGATCTGTGTATGCTGGTGCTTGGCTCCATGGGCAATGGTTTCTGCCTATGGGGGCCTTGGTTGGAAGCTCTGGTCCCAGGGTCCTGGGTTGTGAGACTCCAAGTGCAGTCTCAGCAATGACATCAGGCAGTTTGAAGACTGTCCAGGCAAGGGCTCTTGACCAGGTCTCATGTGGCCATTTGGGCTGGACCCCTTTTCCCTAGATGGGCAATGTCTTAAGGCAGCAGTGCTAGCCCAGCCTCTGTCCTCTCCAGGTCACCAACATGCCAGCCCTTCCCATCCCCTACTTCAGCCTCCCTGCCTGTGGGTGGCAGGAACTGGACCTGGCCTCTGGCTACAAGTTAGTTCTTCATTCTTCTCCCAGGGACACTTCTCCATCCTGCACGGGAAGAACTCTGTTCCTATTCTGAATGCAGCTATGGTTTCATTATGTATTTCTCTATCACTTCCCCATGCATGTTGCTAGAAGGGAGCTGATTTCTCTGTTCTAACAGGAAGGAGGTCAACCTGAACTTAGGGATGCAAGAAGTGGCCTCTGGCTTTTGTAATTTGGATTTCACCCTGAAGGAAATTTGGCAATCATTGAGAAGTGAAGTTTCTTGCAGCCCTTTACATTCATACTTTATCAACACCACAGGGTAAACACACAGGAGGCAAAGACTAGGGCAAGCTAATCAGATATGGTTCATAGAAGAGACAGTTATAATTTAGATCTAAGATGTTCTCCAAAATGTCTCATGTGTTCAGAGGTGGAGCTTTCAGACATGATTGCACCATGAGGGCATTGACCTCATCAATGGACTGGTGAGCTCATAGCTCAATGGGCTGTGAAGTTGGAGCTCAGTGGAGGAAGCATATCACTGAGGATGCATCTTCGAAAGTTATGTCCTGTCTCTGTCTCTTTCTTGCTCTCTCTTTTTCCTGGCTACCATGAGGTCAGCAGCTTTGCTCTGTCATGCTCTTCCACCATGACGATTCTGTCTTGGATCCAATTGACCATGGACTAAACCCCTGAAACCTTGAGTCAAAACAAACCCTTCCTCCTTTAAATTGTATGTGTCAAATATTTTGTCCCAGCAACAGTAAAGTGACCAACACAGAGACCCCATATTGAGCTCTGAGTAAAGTACATTTCTTTTTTAGAATACAGTAAGTCTTTGACTTTCAAACATTCAACTTGCAAACTTTCACAGGTGTACTGTATAAGACTCACTTTGTCAGCTTACAAATAAATTCAACTTATAAATAATTCTCCAGGAATGGAACTCATTCATAAGTAAAGACATGCTATAATGTTTTATGTTATTTCTACAAAATTTGATGATTTGTTTTCTCCCTTACAAACACATGGGTAAAGAAGGCGGCTGATTCCAGTTTGCAATGCCAGCACCATTAAGTCAAGAGTTCTGATGAGGTACTAGATGTGCCAGCACAACCTGTTTGGTTAGTAATGGACCTCACCTGGACATGTCTTTTTAGCACCCTGTGCTAGGCATTGCAAGGTACTTGGACCAGCACTTTCCAATTGGACTTTTTTTTAAGTAAAAGAAGTGCAGATAATGATACCTGCTTTAGATGCTATCATGCTTTCTCGATAGATTCTTATCATAAGGAAGGAATAAGTTTCTAGCATGCAGTACTATCAGTAGATCAGGAACACTGAAATGTAAAACCAGATACATCTCTGAAAATTGTAAGGTGCACCCTGGGGAT